TTCTAGGCCGATATGACTTCTTGATCGGACCAGACGGTAGACTCTTCCCAGTGATCCCTAGGACCATGGAACGGGCAATTTTGGCGAGCAATCGAACAAAGCCACCACTTCAACAGAATTACGAAGCCAAACTGCAGCGATTGAAGCAGGAATATAGAGATGTACTTCTCAGAGCTGACATCTGCCACTTGTGCCCATTGCACCACAGCAGCCGTCATCACCTGCGAGCTCCAAGCGTGGAAAGGGCTGCCCTTCAATTCATTGACCTCACCAACGTTGACGAAGAACCTGTTGCAGTCTTTCGAAGTGACTCCATTCAAGACTTTCTAGCCCGTGCCGCTCGCGATGAGCTGGCTCAGAGCAGCAGCTCTGACGGACAGACAATGGCTGTAGTGCATGCAACAACATGTGCCCAAAAGATGGCGACGTTTGCCGCAATTCCGCCAACAATCCAAGCTGGATCCTCAAGCGCAGGAAGCACTCAACCTCTGGCAGTCGAAACCCCAAGACCAAGACCGCTTGATACGCCACCTTCCGAAATGGAAGACATCAGCCTCGCAAAGCGCCAGAAACGCAAACAGTCTGACTATGGCTGGATGCAACCAAGTCAAAACCTTGCGCTGAGGAAGGCAAACGGCGACCTGCCTCATCCTCTGGAAGAGTGGAGTCTTCAGCAAGCTGGGAATACGACCACTGGATTTCTTGATGCCGTTGCTGTCCACAACGTCGCAACGACCACACCAGCTGCAGACCGCCGGTCCTCGATCCAAAAGTCGAAACCAGCACCGGCTCTGAAAGCCGCGTCTGCTGCTCCCAAGCCTTCAAAGGTCACCAAAACCAAAGCAGCCACACCAAAGAAGCCCACCACTCGCGACAAGGGCAAGGGAAAAGCCAAAGCATCTGCAGCACGATCAGCGGATCTCACCACCGCCCTCACCGGCCTCAACAGTGTCACCTCAGCCACCAACATCTCTGGATCCAGCAGCGCCCGCGAGACTTTCACAGTCGACATTCTCCCCGAAGAGCCTGCTCATGTCCGTCCTCGAACACCAAGCTCTCCACCACGACCCACTATTTCAACCACAGACATGGATGCCGAGTACGAAACCGACGAGGACATGGAGGCACAACTCAGAGATTACGACTTGACGGTCATTGACCACAACGAACAATTCCCGCTGCCCGAAGACAACGAGAACCCTCAAGCGACAACATTCTGGGAAGTCGACGATGGAGAAGTGGCAGACATCATCGCCCTGTTGGAGGAACCCCAGAAGCAGCAGACCATGGACTGCCCGGCCAAGGAGAGCCAGAAGGGCTCGGCTCAGGGCCAAGCAAACCCAGCTGCGGACTTTGAACAGGGAGTTGTGGAGGACAATAGCGGTATTGGAGATGCGAGTGGGGATGCAGACCTTGAAAGCCTCTTCAACTTCGACGATGTGGAAGAGGACCTCCCGATGACGACGTGGCCCGGCGAGGACGAGGAGAGCGAGGTGAGCGAAGAGGAATAGATGGATCGAAGGAGAGACGGAGAGAAGGAGGGGAGAGATGGGACGATGGGACGATGGAACGAACATTGAGTGATGAATGAATGGGATGGGTCATGAGAGACGAGCGACGAGTCCGACTGATGAATGAACGAATGAGTGATGGAAAGATATGCTGTGAACGATCGGCGCAAGCACTGCAGGGACAGTGAGTTGGCCTGGGAGATTGACTTCCGGCTGGCTTACGAGGACTACGCATGGACGGGAAATGAGACGATTAACGTTGTGTTCGCGACAGGACGGCAGAGATCACGAGACGGAATACGTGCAGAGTGAATGAGCTGAACGGACTTGCGTATTGGTGGAAAGAGTCTGTACCCGTACAGCACGAGCACGAGCACGGAGAGAGAGTCTTGTGGTTGGTTTACATAGATAGGCAAGGTTCGATCAGATCAGGTCCCAGACAAGCCCCAACAATCAGATCGATCCAGCTCCCTCCCAAAGTTCTTCTTCACCGTCTCTTCTTCCTCCCAATCCCGCTTCGATTGCTTCCTGCGCGACTTGCGGCGGATATGACGCTGGCAGAGCGCTTGTGGGCGCGTGCCGGAACACTGAGAGCTGCAGGTTCTTCGTCTGGTTCCTGCTCCTCCTGCTCCTCCTCAGCATCGTCATCATCATCCGAGTCGTCGGCCTCTGCTGCGGCGGGCCCATCATCGTCTTCGTCTTCGTCTTCTTCCTCGTCCTTGTCTTCTTCGTCTTGATTGTCAATTTCGACTTCATTGTCCGAGTCCGCATCGTCCTCGTCGTCGTTTGCTTCCTCGTCAGACTCTGCCTCCACGTCTGGCTCTTCATCCTCATCCTCATCCCCATCCTCGTCCGCATCGCTCTCATTCTGCGGTGTCCCAGTAACCTCGGCATCTTCATCCTCTTCGTCTTCATCAACATCAGCTTGACCATCCTCTCCACCTTCTTCGGCATCGTCGTCATCTTCCTCATCCTCTTCATCGACACCCGTAACTCCTTCTTCATTCTGCTCCTCGTCCTCGTCGTCGTTATCTTCACCTGTTTTAGCTTCATCGCTCTCTTCTTCTTGATCTTCGACTTGTTTCGAAGTGTTCTCTTGGGCTGTGTCCTGTTCCGCCTCCGCGTCTGCGTCTGCTCCTGCGTCTGCTTCTGCTTCATCTGCTTGCCTGCTTGCTGGCACAGCGTTCTCGTCCTTCACATCTCCCGCGACAGAACCCTTCTCATCAGCCTTCTGCACAGGGACATCGTCTTCGGCTTCAGCGTCCTGGTCCTCCTCAACCACGGCGACGGAGTCGTCATTCGTGGCTTCAATCTTTGAATCGTTTGCCACTTGAGAATCGTCGACCTCCATTGCGTCTGCGGTCGTAGGAAAAGAAGGCTGGGCAGTGTCCGAAGGAGCAACGGGCTCTCCGTCTTTTGGCAATCCCAACCTAATCCGCCTAGCCTCCTCCAAAATCTTGATCTCGGTCGCAATCTTCTCGTTCACTTTCCTACAGTCTAGCAGCATATTGATCTCAGTGACCAACCGTTCGAACTCTCGGCATACTCGTTCCGTAGGCATAAGCAATCGAGGTGGAATTCCTAATTCTGTCAAAGCAGCCTGAATCTTGGTTGTTTGAGTCTGGCTCTTGGCCATAGTGAGGCGATTGATCTTCTCATGGCGGAACTGCACGCCGCTTGTGATCCTTTCCTGTGGATGAGAGACACCGAACCGTGCTTCCTCTTGAGGCGACAAGATTCGAACACTGGGCTGAGACGTTGAGCCTTTCTTTTGTGCACTGGGCGCATCATCGGTAGCCTGCGTGTCGACTGTGTCTCGTCGGTTGTATTGAGGTGGATGTCTGCCCTTCTCGTATCTCTGCGATTCGGTGGGAGTGGAAGCGGCGCCTGTCTCACTACTGCCAGGAACTGGGGGCCGTTTCAGCCTCTTCTCTTTGGCGAGAAGGCTCTGCAGTAACATAGAAAGTCCTCCGGAGGTTTGATACATGGCAGTAGACTGTTCCTCTCCCCTTTCGGTTCTTCTGATAGGTGCCACAGGTTCGAGTCTCGCATACAGATCCCGTCTCATTTTGATGAAGTCGTCCTCGTTCTTAGTGATTCGGTGGAGTTCTTCGAGAAGAATTCGCTCCTCATCGGCTTCGTCCTTGGTGCGTTCAAATAGTTTCTCCGCCATCGCTTTCCTCATTGTTTCAGTCTTTGCATCAAAATTGCGCATCTTCTCCCAGAGTTGAAATTCAGCCTGAGTCATTGTGCTTGCTGGAGTTTGCGCTTCCATAAGCTTTGCGGCAATGGCATAGTATCGTTGCTTGAGGGCTTCCATAGAACGCTGGGGAAAATGAGGTTTCACCACAAGTTCGCTGCCATTCGCATTAGCCTCTCCATCTTGGACCGGCGGTTGGGGAGCTTGAATTTCATGTGGGTTGTATCTATCGCCGATAACAATCCATCTCAAGTCGTAGTCCCGGCACAGATCCATGAGATAATCGGTCTCCTGCCGCGTCCAGTCCTCTGACTTTAACATGTTCTCATACTGCTCATCCGTGTAGGAGGGTATCTGGACCTTGACGTTCCACTTGTTTGACGGGTACTCTTCTTCAAACTGTAATTCTTGCGCAGCGGGGGATGCCTTTGATTCATCTGTCATTTCTACATCCGCCGAGCCATTCGTAACAACTGGCGTGCGGGCGTTCGAGCCGGGGATGGACCGCTTCCAGTGTCTCAGCACCAATCCGTCAGTCCTCCCACCATGCACAAATGGTCTCTCCTCCCAGTGACGCGGCTTGAACAATTTCTGGGAGATTGACGGTCTCGATTTGTAGGAGCGTGGTTCGACGATGGCGATGGGAGGGACCGAATCGCCCATGAGAGCTTGTACTTCTCGCTTCACACCGGTGACGCGCGAGTGAGGATCAACATGTTTTTTCTTCTTGGGCGCAGGCTGACGGGGCCCTGCCTGGCCCAGGTTCATGATATCGCGAATGTCGTTCGTGGAAGCCATCTTGCCAGGTAGACACAGGATCGATTGTCGGTCAACAGTTTTTTATGTCGGGCGTAGTTTTTGCCTCGCCCATTTATGAGCGTCTTGTGGAAAGTGACACACCAGTCAAGCAGAAAAGAGACGGATGCGCAGACACGATGAGAGCGAAAGACGCAGTGGATGCACGCAACCAGAGAGATTCGGGGATATTTGAAATGACGATACACGTGACCTCAAAGTCATTTGAAACATGCCTACAAGGCTGTCGGAGGCTGCAAGGCTGCGCAGCCCTGACACATGTTGACTTTTGATTGGCCATCTTTAGTATGTAAAGCAGCGCGTACCACGTTCTCTGAGAAAAAGGGGCCCCTGCGCTCCGCATCTCGTTGTGTGTCCCCTGGTATTGGAGTTTGGACATTTTGTTCAATTGATTTTTCCTGCGCCATTACCGTTATTTCTCAGCGTCAGACCTACGTCCGATCAATCACGACGAGCGAGGTCACGAGAGCAAGATGAAATCCTTACTTGCGACTTTCGCCGCAGTCACTTCGATCCTCATACCTTCAACACAGGCACTATATTTCTATCTCGATGGCACGACGCCCAAGTGCTTCTATGAAGATTTGCCGAAGGGCACGCTAGTGGTCGGTATGTCAAGAATTGATTGGTTTTATCATTTGATGCTGTGGTGTTCCAATTATCGGAATACCGCTACTGGGATGGACATCTGTCCGAGCACGATTCTACCGCGAAGGATGTCCCAGATGGACAGAGAAAACAAAAGACAACCAGACACTGATTTGATGGTGGAAATACAGGAACATACAAATCCGAAGCCTACAACCCCCAGACGCAATCCTTCTCAGCAACGCCCGACCTCAACATCCACTTCACTGTCGAAGAGACCTTCGACAACGACCACCGGGTCGTAACCCAGACCACGCAGTCCTCGGACAAGTTTTCAAAGTTCACATTCAGTGCCGCGGATGCGGGCCTGCACAGACTTTGCTTTACGCCCTCTGGACCCGCGGCGATCAGTGTGAATGGATGGTTCGGAAACGGCGGGAATGTGTTGGGAGGAGTGAAGTTGACGGTCGACATGGCGATTGGAGAGACGAGTAAGATTGAGAGTGAGGACAAGGGCAAGATCGACACCATTGTCGGCAAAGTGCGGGAGTTGAACGGGCGGTTGCAAGATATCAGGAGGGAACAAAAGTTTCAAAGGGTAAGTCGAGACCAACACACCCCCCCCCCCCCCCCCCCACCATTCATACATCTGCCCTGCGTAGGGCTCCTTTTCGTGGAGAGTCGCTAATCCAGAATGTGTGATTAGGAGCGCGAAGCAGAATTCCGCGATCAAAGCGAAGCAGTCAACGCGCGAATCGTCCGGTGGACGTTGATCCAGCTGGGCGTCTTGGGCGTCACCTGCGCGTGGCAGCTGTCACATCTGAGATCATTCTTCATCAAGCAGAAATTGACATAGACTGCTCAGTCCTTGGACGAGTATTTGGCGGCGTTGGAGCCCAACAACGGACTGACTGTATTCATGTGTTTTGCACTTGACCTGGGGTATGGACTCTCGACAGAGAGAAACGGAGCGAACCGCCTTTTGGGGAGGACAGGACTGACCCGACTCTGTTGATCAGTAAGTCGCCTCAAGTCCTTTGTCCGTTCGAGTGTCTGTCGATGACCACATCATGTCATGTAACAGATCCCAGTACATGGGTGTTTGGAATGGAATGAGAAGAAAAAAGATTCATAATATGCTACGCTACGCCGTCAGAGGGTCTATCCTGTTCACCTTCTGCTTGCCAATCTCCCTATGCTTTTAAAAAAAACCCCCCGACATAAAATGAGAATGCCTCCATCAGACACGTGTTATTGCCGTATACGGATCCTCCCTGGACTGAACCAACCCTTCAATATCCCCGTCTCGCTCTTGGCCCAGCAATGCTTGAACCAGAAGAAGACCCGAGCCCCATCCGGCTGAGTGTATTTGAAATGCCCATGCTCTCACGTCGTGGGAATCTGCCACCTCCACCTAGTGATAGAGCATCAACACCTAATGTATTTCGACTTGAGCTTTGTGATTGACGATCCCGACTAACCGAAGACCTTGTCCTCGGTGTTGTCGAAAGAGGGTCGGATGAATCGGTGTATTCAAACCGATAATGCTCGGGTCGTGGGGTCTCCCATGCTGTTGTGGTGGTGGTAGTCGTGGACATTGACTTCAGACTCTCGACCGAGTCGCTTGAATCTGTTCGTGGCAGCTGAAGCACTGGCGCCGCTGCAGCGCCGGGGTGTGGGTTGGGTGACTTTTGCGTCAGTAATGCAGGGATTGACTGTAACGGAGCAGCGTTATGTAAAATGGGTTGACGGTGAACCTGAGGTGCCCAGTGGTAACGAGTCAGTGTCAGGAACTCTTGAGGGAGCAGCAGAGCCACGACCGCAATAGCGAGCTTATCCCACACATTCCTAAACAGTTCCCCAAACCGCTCCTGGACCATGGCAACCCCAATCAAAACGACTGCTTCAAAAGCGTACATGAGTATTCTTGCGGCTTGACCATGAATACCATTCAGACAAAGAACGATGGTGATGTGACCCAACGGTACGACCACACTGAGAAGGACGGTGTAATAACCCAGTTGGGAAGTCCCAGGCCTCATGGCAGCTTCGGAGAGCCATGCCGCTAAGCCTACTGCGAGCGAGAGGATTGACCAGCAGCTGAAGAGTTTTGGTATTGACAGAGCTTTCCCATTTTTCAACTGGTGGCGACTGGGCTCTTTTCCTGATACAGCCTTGGAAAACTTTGGATCCGATTTGGATCCAGATTCAGGCTGATCTAAGGACGAATCCTGGAGAGAGAAGACGGTATCAAAGATGCTTTCCAGGCCCGTGTCGGCATGTCGCTCGTGCCCGAAAAACTTTGGTGGCGCTATCGCCTCGCTGCCAGTTCCAGTCTGACGAGGGGGAAACAACGACTTCTTTGACTTATCAAAAAACCCTGGCGGGAGACCAATGGCCTCTCTACCAGTCCGTGCTTGACTCTGATTTTTGAGGACTCCTTGAGTATTCAATGCTGGTAGTTTTCCGTGAAATGGCGTGGGCTCGGTTGCTGTGTACCGAATCTGCTTGAGCTCAGGTTGGAATGTCGGCTGGGATGGTGTCCAGTCCATCGCTTCAGCATTGTCTGGTGGGGGCGTGGGAGGATTCCATGCCTGATAAGCTGGTCTTGCAGGTGTTCCCAGATTGTGGATGTTGAAGGGCTCATTCGATGGTTGTTGGGGTTCTGGTTGTTCGAAAGGCGCAGGAGGGCTGAATTGGGTGCTTGACAGCAAAGGGGCAGGGTCATCGTGCCAATTAATCTGAGGGCCAGACTTGACTGTTGTAATTCCAAAAATCGACCAGCCTGCAAGCACTGTGATTGCGACCGCGAAACAGGCATGCAAGATTGCTGTCAGTCGCAACGATAGAGGGACATGGAACAAGATTATCCAAGCGCTGAACCGCAGCCCCAGAAGGAGAAACTGCGCCAGATAATACTCGTTCAGGCCCGACAATCGCTGATCATTGTTGGACAACTTGTGCTGCCACTTTGGATTCCACCAGATACACAGCAGGCCCAATACCAAAGATAGTCCAACAATGGGCTCCATCATTTCTGCGCATTGGCGGACACAGTGCATTTGTGAGAAGCATTCGACAGGTTTTAGTTGTCGATTCGACGACCCTGCAACCACCTGAGAGCCATACAGATGCCAGAGCACTTGTAAGGTCAGACTAACTGTATGGCCCAGTCCCGCGGCACTGAGAAGAAGACTTCTCCACCCCCATCGACTGGCCACCCTTCTTTGTCGTGATTTTTCCAGCACCCGTCGAAGGTGGTCACTTCTGGCATTGTACGTAGCCTTATGCAACTGTGCTCTGACTTTGGGTTCGCACTTGGCACAGCACTGGGGGTAGCGTTGTTCGAGTCCTTTCTTGTACTCTGGGAGTTGGGCCTCCAGTTTCTCGTACTCGGGGTGGTCGGGATCTGGAAGGAATTGGGAGAGGTTGTAGGTGTATAGTTGCTGGTTCTTCAGACATGTCGAACAGAATACCGAGTCTTGTGAAGAGAAGTCGTCGGAGAGAGGGTTCGTAGCGACGGGCTGCGCGAAACGCTGAACTGGGGCGGCTTCTTCTAGGGGGACATCGGCTATCTCCCCGTTCTTTGCGACGTGTTAGTGGCACCACATCTCCAAAGGAGAAAATGGACATACCTCATCGAAGAAATTGACGGCAAGGCAGTGCTCGCATTGAAACTTGTGACCAGGTTTCTTCCCCGCTGGCAATTTCGATCTGCGCCCACAGTAGTGACAATCCAGGCGCCGGCGGAGTGTGACAGGCATGACTGCGTTCGCATGGTTGTAGAAGCTAGCTGCAGGGTGCCTGGGATGCGTTCATATAGGCCTGTTGTCCAACAAATTATTGTACAAGGAGCGGGATCCAAGAGACAACGCATCAGACATCCGTCCTTGTTTCCAAACCTTTTGGCAGTCAACTGTCTACCATTTTGGGCTTAGCTTGTCTCGGGGGTAGACTATTTATCACCGAACAGATAAAACACTCCGCCCACTCAAAGCCTCGTCAGCCTTGCGCTCAACAACGACGAGCATGTTTTACTGCCAACACCTTCTGGTTTAGGATACACATCGTGCTATATCCTGAGACAATCAACCTTGAACATGCTGAGTCTTCCCAGAATCGAACTCATCGCCCAGCTCCTGGCCCGAAATAGACAGAGACCCTGACCCAAATCACAGGTTTCTGAGTGTGACTTGATCTCCTCAGCAGCCATGGAGTTGCACAAGACACAAATGGAACAACAACGAGGCCTATTCCCTGGCGGAGCAATCATTTCGATCGCCATGCTCGCACCACTAACTGCCATCTCGCCATTCCGCCAGCCGTTGCTTTTCATATTCGCCAGCACTTGCATCTTGATCAGCTTGTCATTCTTTCGGCTCGTCCAGGTGCTCCATCGGCCACCAACATCGCGACGTCCTCCGCCCTCTTCGAGAAATCCAACCCATTTGTTGGTTGTGCTGGGCTCGGGGGGGCACACAGCAGAAATGCTGAACATTCTGAGCCAATACCGCCGACTGCCGCTTGACTTCACCAGGCGGACCTACGTGGTGAGTTCGGGGGATGAATTCTCCGCCTCGAAAGCAAGAGATTTTGAGGCTGAGATGGCGTCGAACCTGAAAGCCTCCTCGTCCTTTTCCGAAGAGACACCTCCAAACTACAGCGTCGTGACGGTTCACCGCGCGCGACGTGTTCATCAGTCCCTGCTCACGACTCCCCTTTCAAGTCTCCGGTGCTTGTACGACTGCCTCAGCGTCCTCTGCGGCACACATCGAGAGTTTAAATCACAACCTGGAGGCAGTGCTCCACTATCCTATCCGGATCTGATCCTGACCAACGGGCCCGGAACCGGGGTTATCGTCTTCTTCGCCTCTGTCATCCTTTTATTCTTTGGTTTCTCAGGTCCCACGGAACTCCGCCCACCCGTCAAGGACTCCACAGCGCACTCGGACCCTCTTTCAACGCAGAGTACCTCCACTGCAAGCTCCGGCGAAGGGTATACACAATCCGGGCAGATGCGCACCATCTTCATCGAGTCGTGGGCCCGGGTGAAAACCCTCAGCTTGAGCGGGAGGCTGTTGAGACCGTTCGTCAATCGGTTTCTCGTGCAGTGGCCCCAGCTCGCCGAGAGGCAAGGGAGAGCCAAGAACGTCGAGTTTGTAGGGAGTCTGGTTACTTGACGAAGGTGAAGAGGAAGATTCTCATGCGATGACTATGTTCCGCGCTGACGTACAAATGGGATATGTAATCTGGTCTCAAAAGATCGCTTGCTCAACGACAGCTACAGGCGCGAAGGAAGGGGGATCTCTACGATCTTCGCAAGATATTAAAGGAGACCGGAAACAGTCAAGGGCAGAGGCAATAACAAGCAAGTTTGGAGTGGCTGAAGCAACGCGTTGTCCGCAAGAGTCTTACTCGAGACTCACTTGAGCTTTCTCTGCAAAGCCACACAAGCTAGAACCGGCGGGCGACACCATCACAAATGTGTCTGTTTCGGCATGATCAACCACGAATACGAGTATGCGACAGCACGGCCGCGGTGAAAAACCAGTGCTAATCAACAAAGGATGAACTCAACCAAGACTCCCGACTTCGTTGAAGGTCCATTGGCAAGGGGAACTTGCTCATGCTGTCGTCCCAGGGGAGTGTCTAATATTCTAGATGTACACTGCCACCGCTAATCGGTGACTACTCTCCATCCTAGCTGTTGATTTTACATCCAAATACAAGCTTTTGGCGGACACATCAGGCCCATATGACAATCACTCCTTAAGTCGGGTGCAGAAATCGACAGTGACATGCCTCTCAGCAGTCGGAATTTGTCCATCACTCCGCCATTCTCAGTCTCCTTCTTTC